TACGTGTTAGTTCATAGAACAGGCGACAACAGAAATCTGCACGAGAAACTGAGAAAGAAATACGAGTCCGAGCTTCATGCACAAGGATTCAGAGTGGATCGCAAGTACACAGCGGAAAATACGTTCGTTGTTCTGCATTGTTCATTTGAAAGACTTTGTGAAGAAGCTGAACATGTGTCTTTGGAAATGCCTCTGGCTGGGGTGAGATAATTTGTCATTCTTTATTTTGATACAGGACTGGGGGTTTCCAGTTTTTTTTTTACAGTACCTGTCTAATTTCTCGCACGCTGATTGGCTTTATATTTTTGTCATCATTAAGAGTACAGATGGATAAAATTTTAGTTTACGCAAGTTTTCAAGTTCAACTTTCAGCTGTCAAACTGTCAACTTTTTAACTAATGAGATTTTATGGACTTTTAGGTAGCTAATCAAAAAGCGAGAAAAGCTGTCGACAATTTTCACGTCATTTTGAATAAAATTCACTTATCTTTAGTTTACGGCGTCTTTTGCCCTCATTCCCTGCATTTGACCATTCTGGGGTCTTGTTATTGTAAAAAACAAATTTACAAGTTTACAAGTTTACTGTGGAACCACTCGTCTGCGGCTCGTGGTTCCACAGTCACTTTGACAATGTTATGACGCAATTTATCATCAATAAGAGGACAAACGCATAAAAAACTGACATCCATTTTTTAAATGGTTAATGATACTAATGTAACAAAATCAACAAATGCAGATGTGTTTTTTTGTACCCAAATTTTACTTTTGTAGAAACAACACAACCATGATTTTTGTTTCAAAGGGTGTTGTTTGGCGACCAGGTAAATTGCCAACCTTTGAATAAGATATGCATGCAAAACACAAGCAGCGAAATAAAATTGAGTAGTGAACAGCAAATAGTAGCAATTACAGTAGTATCAACCACAGAAGTTAATATTGGTTTCTGCGTGTTCTGATTGGTTAACTCAGAAGTGATTAGCAGCAGATAATGATTATTATTCACCTCCAAGCATCACACAGCCTGTGAAATTTTTGATCATTTGTCTGGTTATTGTCAGAAATAAAGTAATTATTATTTTGGTCTGCTTGTTATTCAGCTTGTGTGGTATATATACTAGTTAAAACAAAATTTTATTCACCTCGATCTCAGTGAAAGTAGTGAATATTTACCTTCACTTCAGTTAATGTACATGTATCAAGCAGTACAAATCAGAAAGGTGTGTTATTGACAACTGTTTAGCGAGAGAAAAAAACAAAGACAAGATTAAAACCCTAAACCCTAGCAGTGATGAAATTTTATTTTGTGTTGTCCTTTTATTTTTAGTACCTTGTACCAGAGTCGTCCAAAAACAGTGTGTGGAAACAGTTTTGGGATCGTTTTCGAACTGATGATGAAGGTATTGTTTACATGTCGTAAACATATTTATTATACTTTATGACCATAGGAGGTTTGTCTCACAATTTGTTTAAATGCCATCTAACTTCATGTGGGATATTTCTTTAAAAATAAAGGCTTGGTTTTTTTGGAGGTAAATAAAATGAAAAGTATTATTCATAAAATAATTTGTATGTCATTCAGTGACAGTATTGTTTTGTGCAATATGAATAATCCTTAGAGATCTCCTATTTTTGCTCCACTTAGAGATTAACACTCTCTAATAGACCATTTCTGTGTTACACCGTACATCTACCTTGTGCCTCTGTGGTAAAACAAGTCTTCGTGCGAAAGCATTCATATGAAAATGTGTTCCCCTACAGGTTCATTTCCATGCAAATCAAACTCACTTTCATATCATTGAAAGGTTTTGCATGAAGACTCATTGGATCATGTGTACTAAGGACATCTGCAGTCGAGTATCAAGCGATACTCTTGATCGATACCCTTGATCGACACCTCGATCGACATCCGGACTGATACTTGTTGGACACACTGTTGACACTTGATCAACAGACAGTCGATTGTCGGCTGAGTGTCGACCGACTCATATGAATCAATTGAAAATTAGTAAACTGTCAACCAAGATGTCAATGGAATGTTGATTGAGTGTCGATCGAGGTGTTGATAGAGTATCGATCGAGGGTATCGATGAACACTTGACTGTGGATGCCTTTAGTACACATGATCCAACTCGTTTTGAAACAGAAGCACAAGGTGGCCTATTTAATGTAAAATTCACTGAACATCATGACATAAGTTCTGC